GCCACCGTCGACTGTGCCCTCCTCGGGCTGGGTGAGTGTGAGAGAGGGGAGAGGAGGGGGGAGGCAACAAGGGTGCGGGCAGTTTCTTCCAGCCTCAGGCCAACTCTAGGGGTGAGGGGTGGTGGAAGGAAGTAAAGGAGTTAAGGGTCACAGCCTCCCGTCTCCTCGTAGCCCACCTAGTGTTGGTTGCGGGGGGGGCGGGGGGCGGTGAGAGAAACAACGCGTGGCCTCAGTTTCTACCCTAATTGTTAGGGGCCAGCGGGCAGCCGACCCGAAAGCAGCGTGGACCTTCGCGGGGCGGCCCTGGCCCACGGTCGCCACCTGTCCAGCCGCCGCAACGTCCTTCACGTGAGTGCCCTCTGACGCATTCCCAAAGCCCACCTGACCCTAGGGGCGCGCGTCCCCAGTCGTCCGCATGGATCTCCTTCTCTGGCTCCCTGCTTTTTTTTTAACCCCCTCCCTGCTTTTTATTTTCCTTCCCGCTGACCCAAGCCTTTCCCCGCCGGCTCCTCAGATCCGCACGGTCCCTGGACACGAGTTCCTGCTGCAGTCAGACCATGAGACCGAGCTGCGAGCCTGGCACCGCGCGCTGCGGGCGGTCATCGACCGACTGGTGAGAAGATCGCAGGACCAAGACTGGAGAGGGGCCGGGGCAGGGACAACAGAATTCAGAGGGCGGGGGGGTGGGCAGCCTGGTGTCGGGGTAGAGCCGTGGGGTGGGGCTGAGATGTGACCCCAGTAGCCCGTTAGGGTCTCCTTGCTTCGAGCTAGGGGTGCAGATTTCTCTCGTCTCTCCCTTCCACCGACCTGGCCCGCCCCGCCCGTCTGGGTCTAGGATCGAGAGAACCCCTTGGAGCTGCGTCTGTCGGGCTCGGGGCCGGCGGAATTGGGGGAGCTGAGTGCCGGGGAGGATGAGGAAGAAGAGGAGGCAGAGCCCTTGCTCAAGCCGCTGCTCCGGCTCAGCAGTCGTCGACGCTCCAGTAAGGGGCGGGCCGGGGAGGCGGAGCCAGCGACCAATTCTAGCGCCTGCTTTGCGAGGCCGCTGTTCTCACGCTCTTAGTTTACTTGGCTCCTACAGGTCGGTGTCCGGAAGGAACAGAGCAGAACCGCGTGCGGAGCAAACTAAAGAGGCTTATTGCAAAGAGGCCGCCCTTGCAAAGCCTGCAGGAGCGGGGTCTGCTCCGAGGTGAGGTGGGGTTGGCGAGCTGGCGCCCTGCTCCTACATGCCTGCTTTAGTGTTTTTGCAAGTCCATTTCATAGAAAACTCAAGCGAGGCTCAGAACAGGGCTCTCCAGAACTAAAGAGCTGGTCTTCTGAGACCACTGCTTTTTCCCACTACTTCAGATGTTGAGGGGTTTGGGGCGGACAGAAGGTGAACCTCCTCTCCCAGGCCTGGCACACACAGCCAGGAGGCCAACCCTTCTTGGGAGTGAAAGCCTGTCCTGAGAACTTCCACGTGTGAATCTGACACTGGCTTCCCACCTCATTCTGTGCCTCTTCAGACCAGGTGTTCGGCTGCCAGTTGGAATCACTGTGCCAGCGGGAAAGGAACACGGTGCCCAGTTTTGTGCGGCTCTGCATTGCTGCTGTGGATAAGAGAGGTCGTTTCCCCAGAGATCCCAGAATCTCCCCTTACGACAGGCCAAGGCCTAGAATTCCCCTCTCCCCTACCCATTTTCCTACTGCCCTTCTTTCTCTCCACTCGAAGACCCCCCACTACCGCTCCACCACACATTTTAGGGCAGGAAGCTTTATCTACTTCCTGCCTTATCTCCTAGGTCTAGATGTGGATGGCATTTACCGAGTAAGTGGGAACTTGGCAGTGGTCCAGAAACTTCGCTTCCTAGTGGACAGAGGTGAGAAGGTTTGTGGGCAAGTGGTGGTAGTAAGAACTTCATGCCTCAGAACCACAGGTGGGCTTAGAGTGAGGGAGCTGGCAGAACAGGGAGGTCCTCTGGCTGGGACTGCATGCTTTAGCTCCTGATCTCTCCTCATACATGTTGCAGAGCGGGCAGTCACCTCCGATGGGAGATACTTGTTCCCAGAACAGCCAGGACAAGGTACTTAAATGAAAGGCCTCTCAGATCCTTGAAACTTCCCACACCCTTCCTGCTCCCTGTGGATTGCCCCGTATGCTGTTCCTGGGAGGGTCGTCCCGATCCCCACTTCTGCTGTCTTGCCTCACTGTGGGACTTCTAGGCATTCCTGTGGTCTGCCTTGACTCGGTCTCCTCCTGAACTCCTGATCTCTCCATCTCTGGTTCCCTCTGGCCCCTCGTGGGCCCCCCGAATCCCCCTGGTATCTCCGTCTCTCTCCAGAAGGACGATTAGACTTGGACAGTGTCGAGTGGGATGACATTCATGTGATCACTGGAGCTCTGAAGCTTTTTCTTAGGGAGCTGCCCCAGCCTCTGGTGCCCCCAGTGCTGCAGCCCCATTTCCGTGCTGCACTTGGTAAGGGATGGGAGCGTTGGGCAATACCCTTGATACGGGGGGATGTGAGTGGTGAAGAATGGGTTAGCAGTTCCCTCACACTCTTTGGTCCCATCCTGAGTACAGAGATGGAAAATATTTTCAACTCATGTGCCAACTCCAGTTGCTTATTTGTAGATGTTTAGAGTACTGAGTAGAAAAGAATTCTGAAGCTTAGTTGGGCAGAATGGAAAAGAAAGCTGTGATTGATTAATGACGTCTTCCATAAGCATGGAAAAGAGTAGTGAATTTACCCACCCTGTCCTAGCACCTCTCCTAACCTCACTCCCATGCCCTTCCCATCTCTCTCTCTAGCCCTCGCGGAATCAGAGCAGCGCCTCTCCCAAATACAAGAATTAATAGGCTCTATGCCAAAGCCCAACCATGACACTCTACGGTACCTCCTGGAGCATTTGTGCAGGTCAGGAAGACTAAACATCTTTGTCTGTGCTGGGGGACGGAGGAGTCGGACATGTTCAGTTAGGGTGAAGGTGTCTTAGTTTCCTAGGGCTGACAGAACAGAAATACCACAAGTGGGTGCCTTTAATTAACAGAAACTTAGTCTCTCACAATTTAGGAGGGTAGAAAGGAGCCCTCGTGGCACAACGATTAAGCGCTTGACTGCTAGCCAAAAGGTCGGTGCTTCGAATCCACCAGCCACTCTGCAGGAGAAAGTTGCAGCAATCTGCTTTAATAAAGATTACAGCCTTGGAAACCTTATAGGGCAGTGCTACTCTGTCCTACATGGTAGCCATAAGCTAGAATCGAGGCTAGAAGTCTGAATTCAGGGCACCGGCTCTAGGGGAAGCCTTTCTCTCTGTTGCACTGGGGGAAAATCCTTGTCTGAACTTCTGTAGCCCCCATTCTCTAGATACCCTGGGTCCCTTGGAGACCTCCATTGGCATCTATCTGTCGCCCACTTGTGCTTGCTTGTTTCTGTGCCTAGGCTGCGCTTTGTATATCTCCACAATGGATTAGGTTTGAGACAAACCCTGTACTGATATGCCTCGTTAATATAACAAAGAAACCCCTATTCTCAAATGGGATTACATCCACAGGTATAGGGGTTAGGATTCCAACATGTATTTGGGGGAGGACACCATTCAATCTGTAACAGTAGCAAAACACCGAAGTTTAGTGGGCAGGTAAAGGTAACAGGCAACCTCTGTGTAGGGGACGTGTTACCAGGATCAAAGCCTTTGGATAGGTCAGAATCAAACAGGGAAATAGGGACCAAGACAAGCTCAGGGATGCTATGAGAGAAATAAGGGAAATATTATCTCTTCCTTCCCTCTGCTTCTTTGTCTCCCATCAGGACAGTGATAATGGCTTGTTTGGCTGAGTTGGGCCAAGGCAATGACTTCTAAGAGGGAATGTATACTTGAATTAAAAAAGAAAAAAAAAAACCATTGCTGCCGAGTCAATTCCAACTCAGCGACCATATAGGACAGAGTAGAGCTGTCCTACAGGGTTTCCAAGGAGCAGCTGGTAGATTCAAACTGCTGACCCTTTGGTTAGCCAGACTCTTAACCACTGCGCCACCAGGGCTTCCTACTTGAATTAAAGCCTCCCAGATTGTGAGCAGAGAGGACTCTAGGGGCAGTCCTGGCAGCTGGAAAGAAAGAATTGTATCCTAGTTCCTGAAGGTTTCTCCGCTGGTCCCATCTCCATTCCCCTTGAGGCATTCTCCTTGGTTTCCTTCGGCCACCCCATGGAAGGATCTCAGAGTGAACCCTTCCCTGCTTAAATCTTTAACCAGTTGCCATCAAGCCAATTCCTACTTAGGATGACCCTGTGTGTGTCAGAGTAAAACTGTACTTCATAGAGTTTTCAATGGCTGATTTTTTGGAAATAGATTGCCAGGACTTTCTTCCAAGGCACCTCTGAGCGTGCTAATTTATTTATTTGATATGGTAAAGCTGCTCCCTTACATCCTTTTCCTTTGGCATTTGCCTGCAGGGTGATAGCGCACTCAGATAAGAACCGCATGACTCCCCACAACCTGGGAATTGTGTTTGGACCCACCCTGTTTCGGCCAGAGCAGGAGACATCTGACCCCGCTGCCCACGCCCTCTACCCTGGGCAGCTAGTCCAGTTGATGCTCACCGAATTCACCAGCCTTTTCCCTTGACTTGAGCAAGGAGCAGAAGGCAAAGAGTATTTCCAGTGATCTCTGTTGGGTGCCCTTTGAGGAGGAGGTCCTGTTTTGAGGACATCCCTTTAAATCCTGTGTCTCCCAAATGACTGTCTTTGTGAGTCTGACCCTAGGGACTGAGATGGGGTACAGGAGCTTTAGAGAGAATACTTGCTTCTCTTCTTATTCCCTGTCATGACCCCTTCCCCAAGATATCACTTCAAGCAAGGCTTTCTGATGCAGTTTCTTTATTATCAAGAAATAGTGTCATTATCAAATTCCTCCCCAAAATATATACAGACTATATACAGCCCCAGCCCATACTTCGCATCGTTGGGGTTTCTTATGCAGGGGACTATGAAGACCGCACAACCCCCCCTTCTCTGGGAAATGAGGATCTGTGATAGATGGGATTCCCCACTCTTTAGGCACTGGAGTTGAGGAATTGAGTCTCCCCAGGCAGGGATCCCAGTAAGACACTCATGTTGCCCACAGCCATGTTGGGAGGCCCAGAGGGAGGTGGGGTATGTTCAGAGCTGCCCCCCTGATCGTGGGAAGGAGGAGGACTCAGCCCCTGGGCCTCATCCAGAATAGCCACAAAGTCCAGCTGAGTGTTGTCAAGGTCAAGAGAGTCCAGGGGGTTACACACCTGCCCTTCTGGAGGAGGGTACAAGGCAGGACCCACTCCCAGCCTGCCCACCTCAGGATGGCCACAGCTAGGGTTGGAGCCTCCTGCCTTGAGGGGCCCATAGCAAGTGGGCAATGGGGGCAGAAGTCGGGGTGGTGCTGCTGCCCTATGGGGAGGCCTGTTTGCCCCCACCACGAAATTTTCTTGGCATTGTGAAGGAGTGGGATAGGAGCCTGACTTGTGATGGGACAAATTGGGTGCAAAACCAGGTCCATATGTAGCCATGGAGGACTTGGCAGGGCTCGGGCTAACCTGAGAACCCCCTGGAAACTTGGAGTTCTGGTAGGGAGGTTCCTGGACTGGGGGCTCTCCCCTGCTCCCACCCTCCCACAGCAGCTCCTGTTGAGACTGAACATAATTACACACAAGCTGAGCCTTGAGTTGTCCTGTGGAGTGAGGAGGGGAGTCGAAGTCCAGGCCAGGCCTGGGTTCTGAAGGAGAGTAATCAGGGAGTGGCTGGACATAGGGGACTGCTTGGGGATACTGGGGAGGGGTAGGCTGGGGGTAATGGGAGAACAGGGGCTGTGGGTGTGGGGGCCCCTCACTGGGGTGGGTATTGAGGCAGGGTGCCAGTCCTGTAGAGTCAGAACCCACTGGGCACCCCTGTTCTGGCTTGACCTGCACTTGTCCATAATGTTCAAGTCGAGGATACTGTCTGTAGGCCCCACCTGAAGGCTTGGGGCCTGGGTACAGCCCAGAGTGGGAGGGGAACTCACTCCATGTTTCTGGGCTGGGGTCAGGATAGGGGCTAGGGCTGTAGTTGGTAGGTGGACCAGGCCCAAAAGGCAGGGAGCCTGGACCCCTAGCTCCATAAGGCTCAACTGCTGTCCCCTCTGGTCCTCCATATCCCAGAGTGTCAGCAGGTGGGAAGTCCATATAGGGGTTCACGCCACTGCTCATCATGGAGGCCCCAACCTCTGGTTCTTCCCGTAGCCCTCTAGTGTCCATGGTGACATTCTCAGTGATGCTGGGGGGCTGTGGTGAGTAGACAGAGGTTGGGAGGTGGGGATCAAAGCTCCGTCCTGCCCCTGCCACAGTGGGAGATGTGTGGACACAGCCCAGGCTCTTGAACCGCTGGACTCTGGCTGGAGCAGGGCGATCAGCAGCCCGGGCTGGGTCACTGGCCCTCCGGGTGACCCCTGCATTGGGATTGTATCCTGGATACTCCACTTGGCTTCTCCAAGGAGGTGCAGGAAGACTCCCCACCCGATCCAGGCTGGGTGCTGCAGTTGGTGGGGTGCTGCCCCCCCTGGCCGAAGCATACCTTGTCCGGAGCAGGTACTGCTGGGCAGGTGTGAGGCCAGGTAAAAAGGATGCCCCATTCTCTGGTGGGGAGCCAGGAGGGAAGGGGGAGGCTAGGGAGGAGCGGCGGCTGACAGTATAGGCTGAGCTGATGCTGCTGGAGCTGCTGCTTCGGCGGTCAAGAGAGACTGGGGGGCCCAGACGGCGGGACACAGGGGTAGCTGAAAATGAAAGGGAGAAAAGGCAGGGTTGTCAGGGAACCCCTGACTCTTACCACATCTACCCATGGGACAGCTTTTTCCCAGAATCCCAGAGACAGGCTCCGTAACCGTAACTACTCAGCTGTGTCTCCTACTTTTCGAATGCCTGTTCTGCTTCCAATTTGGGGCCACTGTGAACAGTTGTACAGGTTGTACACTGCACAATCATTGGGGACAGCATTCACATTATAGATTTTGTATATTTATATATTACAACAGTTTTCTGACAGATGGAAATGTGTTGTAAGGAAAGGAGATCCTTTTCTAATTGCACATAGGTACCACGTGGCAGCACTGAAGGGTGACCTCCTCCTAACCTAACAGCAGGTGGAATCAGCCCAGCAACCACCCTCCACGCCCAGGTCTCACCGGTGTGAGTCAAGCTGGGCAGCTGGAGGCCACGGGGCCCTGTCGGCCGGAGCTGATGCAGCTGGTCCAGCCTGAGGTTCTCAAGGCGGCGAAGGGTGGACAGACCAGTGCCAGCAATGCAAGTCCCCTCATCCAGGCTGGACAGGTCCTCAGTGCTGCCCCCGGCATTGCCAGCCATTTCCACACCACTGTCTGTATTGGCTGCGCTGCCTGCTGGCGAGTGGTCACTGCTGCAGGACGACTGGGCCCCAGGGCTTGGCTGTGGCTTCTGTGGGGGAAACAAGGGCTGAGGGCAGCACCCTTCCCCTCTTCCCACAGCTCCCTGAACTTGGTGGGAGGCTGAAGCCTGTGTCCCAGTGGCTGCTGGGGCTGAGGGGAGGCTTTTAGCTGAAGACAGGGCTGAGCAGCTAAGAGATTGGGGTCACTGGAGAAGACTTGTTTTACGAGAAGAGCCTAGACTGGAGCACAGACTGCCTGGGCTCAAATTCCTGCTCTTAGTTTTATGACCGTGGGCAAGTTCTCCATTCTTCAGTTCCTCATGTGAAAATGGGGAGAATAATAATTGTTTTCTCTTGAAGGTTTTGTGAGAAGGACGTGAAATAATACATGTAAAGGGCTTAGAGCAATATTGACTATGTTGTCGTTGTGTGCTGTCAAGTTGATGCGGACTCATAGCAGCCCTATAGGACAAAGTAGAATGGCCCAAGGCTGTAATCTTTGCAGAAGCAGACTGCCAGGTCTTTTCTCCTGCTGAGTGGCTGGTGGGTTCAAACCACCAACCTTTTGCCTATACTAAGTGCTATGTAAGAAAGAGTTTGTTGAACCAATTAAGTAAGTAAGTAAATTAAAATCCCTAGCTTTGGGGTAGTCCAAGGAGCAACACTGAGGCTAGACTACTGGCTACAGAGAGTGATTTACTGAGGGGGGATGGGCGGGGTGGGTGGACTAAAAGGATGTCAGCAGGGCAGGCTGGGGTCTGGAGGCAGGGGGTTGCCTGGGCTGTCTTACCATGGCACCCTCTGGCACGGTCAGTCTGCTCTCCTCCCTGATGGGGCCTCCATCCCGCTCTCTTTTGGGCTCCACTGTGGCAAGGGATGGTGCCCGGGGCAGGGGGCCGTCCCCTCGGTGCCGCTTGGTCACATGGGCGTCAGGACCATGCACTGTCTTGACGTGTTTTCGGAGCGAGCTGGGATCTGTGTAGCGTTTGGTGCAGCCAGGGAGCTTACACACATACGGCTTCTGTTGAGCGGAGAGTGAAGACAGATGGCAGGGGGATCAATGTAGAAGAAGGCAGAGGTTGTGGGAGAAAGGGCAGCCGTGAGGGCATCGAGTGGGGGACAAGGCAGATAAGGGAGGGACACACAGACCCCAAGGAAGTAATGAGGCCTGGCCCACTGGGGTGGGAGTAAAAGATGCAGGGATCAAGGTGAAGATTAGGAAAACTGAGCCCTGAAAAACTGAAGATTGGGAAAAAAAGATTAGGGAAAGACGAGGATGAACCCAGGGCTGTGAAGCCTCCTGAACTCAGAGGTTGAAGGGGCCAGAGGTCTCCTCTAGGTAGAATGAGTCCATTTCGGGTTAGCCCCTTGGCTGATTGGAGGTAGGGGGAGGGGTGCTAAGTGGGAATCCTTGGTTTCAAGAAAGGCCTTCTCTGAGTGAACTATATAGAGATGGGGTGATCACCTCTGTGGAGTGGGTGCTGGGCTAAGGGCTTTCTTATGGAAGAATTTCCCTGGCAGGTGGCTTCTCCCGTGGAGGAGGGTCTTAGCTGGGGCACTCACTTCATTGGAGTGGGTTCGGTTCTGGTGCTTAGCTCTGTCGCTGGCGTTGCTGAAGGCTTTGCTGCAGCCCTCGTGCTCACACATGTACGGCTTCTCACCTGTGTGTGACCGCAGGTGCGTCTTTAGGTTTTCGAGGCGGGAGTATGACTTCCGGCACCCTTCAAACTAGAGGAGCATGAGAGTCAAAGGATAGCTCTTGGACAGGACATGGAGATTAGACGAAACCCTAAATCTCCAAAGGGACATACATCAGAGAATATAACCCAAGATGGGAGAGCACTGGGGGGCTTCAGGACAGTCCCCAAAATTAACAGACAAGGGCAGGCGAGAGCTGGGGGAACAGAGGTAACTGGAGGCACTTGGCCTGTGGGGACATGGAGCTGAGGCAGTAAGCATCTCCTGGTCAGGCCTGCATGGGATCTCAGACTGTCTTAGGATGACTGTGTCATAGGAAATGGGCAAGAAGGAGAGTGTCTTTTGTCCTTGATGCAGGCTTATCAGAGTAGGAAGCGCAGTGCCTAGGGCCCACAAGACTTTTAGGAACCCATGAAAATGTTTTCATTTCTTTTAAAATCAAGGGGAAAAAATAAAATTTTAGGTCACAGAAAATGTTTCAATATATACTAATACATTCTTCTTTAGACCAACACAGTCATAAAATATTTTCGATATTTGCTTATAGAGGTAGGGGCCTAGGAGGGCAAAAGCACCGAGGGCCCAGGAAAGGCACTGCCTGGGGAAGTGAGTGCCTCACCGTGCACTTGTGTGGCTTCTCGCCCGTGTGTCTGCGCATGTGCACCACCAGCATGTACTGGGCTTTGAAGGGCCTCAGCTCCCTGGAGCAGCCCCCCCAGTGGCACACGAACTCCTTCCGCTCCCCATGGATGTGCTCGCTGTTGATGTGCTGGGGAAGAAGACAAGAAGGCTCTCCAAGGTTTCCCTATGACCCTGAGACCCAGAACAGACCTTCCCTCCACCGTTATTCTTCCTCCTCATTGTATTTCTCCATGGCTCCACCTCATGGGGGAAGAAGGGTCAGGAAGAACATTTTTTCCCACATCTTAGTACTTCCAACTTTCTAAAGCTATAGCTACTGAGCCTCTGCCTACCCACCTGGGCACACAATCACTGAGCTCAGTATCTTCTGACCTCCTGCCCTCAGCCTGATTCTAGATGTCCCACTCAGAATCTCCTACAGGCTCCAGCCAGCCATTCCAGCTACTACCCAATCCTGTCCCGCCCCGCCCTGCCCCACGGCTCACGTGCACCAGCTGTTCCTGGGAGTCAAATTCCTGGCTGCAGCCATCCCAGCGGCAGTCAGTCTCATACACAGATTCAGGCTCAGGCTTCTCCTCTCTCTCCAGGTCCTCCCGCCCATCCAGCATTCCCAGCAGGGGGTCCTAGGGCAGGAGAGGCAATCCTAGGGTCACTTGGGTGACAGCTTTTGTTTTGCTCACGTCCCAGAGGTAAAAATCCCCTTCCTCCCCATACCTGTGTGCCTGTGGAATTGGGGCTGGACATGTCACCTTCCAAGGGCTCCTCCGGGCACTTTCCAACCAGCATGTCCAGCTCAGACTTCAGCTTCCCCAAGGGAAGAGGTGAGGGTGATGAGGGTAGACGGAAGAAGGAACCCAGCCAGGTCCCCCTGCCCTGCGTGCCCCACCCCTGGATTTGGTACAGACTTCTTTCTCAGATTGCATTGGTGAATGGGATGGGTGAAAGGTGGGATCTCATTTGGAAGGGTCTGGTTCAACCCCAAGGAGTGAACCCCAGCACCCACACCCCTTTATTTTTCTGGTATGGAAAACTTTTATATCCCCTTTCCTTTCCTCACCTTTCCCCTGAAAAGCCCACCACTCACCACCCTGAGCTGAGGGAAATCAAGTAGCAATATGGGAGTTCTCACCTGGCAGGTTGGGAGGGGTCCTCGGGACTGAGGATGTTGCATCATTCCACCTCGGGTGGGGTCATGGGGACCACAGGGCTGGACCCCAAAGGAAGGCGAGGTCCCTTTTTGGTGATTCATCTGGGGTGGAAATCCCAGAGATGGGCTGAAGAGGAGGAGGAGGGGAGGCAGTTACTTATGACTATCATCTCAGGTCGTCTCAGGAGTTCTTGGGCTATTTGGAGGGTTTCTGGAAGACTTGGTATGGGAAGTGGTTGAGGCAGTCCCTGGGAAGTACTGAGAAGGATTTCACTGCCTTTGAAATAAGGATTCAAATAGGGTCAGGTGGTTTGGAGGGCTTGAAGCTTTTAATGGGGTTTGGTAAGGTCTTTGAGGGACCTCTTAGCCCGCGACTGCCTGCACCTCATGGTGCCGATGGAGAGGTGGCCATAGGAGCCCCCTGGAGATGCACAGCGAGAGTTGATGAAGGCCACGAGGGAACTGGGTGAGGTGCGGATAACTGTCTGCAGGTCCAGGCTGGCATCCGACAGAGGTGAGATGGAGAGTGCCCGCTTCTTGGTCAACTTGACTGCACTCCGGGGAGGAGGAAAGAGTGGTGCTGGGGCAGGGGACAGGGGACATAGATATGCTGAAGGGACATGTATCTCTATGCACCCATCCCATGGGTCCTGACTCTCGGGAAAAAAAATGACACTTGACTCTGCTTTGCCCTGCCGACCTCATCTGTGACCTCCTAATCATGCTCTGACCCCTTGCTCCATCTCCCAGCATTTCTTCCTCCAACTCCTCCCACTTTCTCCCTCAGGACAAGTCCCAGAGGGACAGACAGGGAAGGAGGCGATGCCTCAGGCCTCACCCTCGGTGCAGCTGTTGGTCTCTCTGGCTGGCCCATAACTGTGGGGGCCAGACATGAGGCTGGCCTGGTGGCAGAAGGCTATACCAGACAGTCCTAGAAAAGAGAGACAGCTGGAATGGGGGATGAGAATGGAGGACACCTGAGGCCTCACCTTGAAACCCCAAGCAAAGCCTGATCCCAAATTCCAAGCCCATATGGTATGAGGGCTCAAATCTTCTGTAAATGGGAAACTGGCATGGAGCAGGGGGTGTATCTGAGAGGGATCCCTGGTGAGGCAACCAGGTGAGGAGATCTGCCAAGTCCTCAAGGCCCAAGGATTGGCATATGCACTGACCTTCTGTTCCCATGCTGGGGGCCCCCTGACTGGGGAGGGGCCGGAGACAGCAGGGTTCACCATAGCTACTGACTGGCGGTGGGGTCATCGAGTTGAACATGGTGTTTCAGAGGAGGGTGTGGGAACACTGCAGAAGGGGAAGCAATATCTGCAAGTTATAAAGGCAGGAAGGGAGATGGGGGGAGATCGGATAACTATCTCAGGCACAGAACCCTGGGCAAAACTTCCCCTGTGTCCCTACCCTCTCCATGACATCTGCCCTGGTAAATCGAGTTGAAAAGAGCATCACTGGGGCGGAGGGCAGGGGAGGATGTAAGGAGAACCGTCCCAAAGAGACAGAGCAGTCTTAGGGATCCTGAGGATTGGGTGGAGCTTTGCCTGGGTGGTCTCTGTGTATGTGTGTATGTGGGGGACGGGTGTTATGGAATGATCGTGCCTATGAGCTTCAAGCGATTTTAATGCCATGGGACCTCGCCTTCTTCTGGCTGTGGCCATGGGCAAGCTTTAAGGAGTGGGATGGGGGAACTCATGTGGGTGTCTGACTTCAAGCACTGGGCTCTACAGCCGCAACCTCTTTTCTTCACTTGCCCTGCTCTGTGACAGCTGTCTACAATCTCTCCAGGGTCCGGCAGAGGGAGCCCTCGCCACAGGCCAGACAGAAGCTGGTTGGGCCAGGCGCATGGAACTGCCCCTTTTCTCCCTGTTAGGAGAAAACTGAGTAGAAGGGGAGGTTTGTGAGGGGAGAAAGGTTTGAGGGGAGCTTCGGGTCTGTTGGGTACAAGGGATGGAAGCCTATGTTATCCTGGGGTGGTTTTGCATCTGGGCGCCCATCCTTTGGTCTCTGCTTTGGGGGAACAGGAAAAGGACAGTCAGGGAAGGCGTTGGGAAAATGAATAGTCATCATCCTTTAGAGAGGCGTTGTGAGCGAGGATAGGGCGCCGTTGTCCGCCCTTCTCCTCAAACTCCAGTTTAAACTCCACCCCAGGTCTTTCGTGCTCCCAAGACTGAGGGTGGGGTGGGGCGGGGTGGGGTGGAGAATGAACGGGAGCGGTCCGGCCGGCGCGGTGGGTGATCCCGGGATGCTGGGATTTAGGGTGAGGGCGGGGTAAAATGGGGAGCGGAACATGGACCCCAGGACCCAACCCGAGCCCCGCAGCCTGGGCCGTACCCTTCCTAACTCCTCCGTTTTCAAGCCGAGATCTGGATCCCGCATCCAAGACCTCCCAACTCGACCTTGGCACTATGCTGGAGGGCGGGGGGGGGGGGCACAGCTGGCTGGCAGCTGGAGGGGGGACACTTCACCCGCCTCCTTCCTCTATGACTCACCCAGGGGAAGGAGGCAGGGTCGCAAACGACCCCCCCAACACTAAAGAGACTCCCCCAAAGTGCCTATTCCGTCATCTTCCTGCTGCCCAGCCACCCGAGACCGCGATGGAAATGGGGCGACATCTCTCCTCGCCCACGCGTGCCACAGCCCACCCACGTTTCCCCTTCACACTAATAAAAGGAAAATTTCGACAACGTTTCCAGCTTTAGCAAAGTTTTTCAGGGATGTGAGTGAGAGTTCAGGATGGGTCAGGGAGCTCTAGGGTTCCTCATCCTGAGCCCTGAATCATCTTATGTGTCTCCCTATTTTCCAGAGTCCCCCTCGCAACCCAGCTCCCCAACTCCCAAGAGTCGGCCCCGCCCCCCTGCTCCCGGTCCCGCCTTCCCCGCCCCCGTGCCTCTTCGGCCCACCCAAGTCGCCGCCGCAGGCTCTGGCTGCAGTCGGCTCCGCTTCCCCCGCCCGCCCCGGGAGCCCAATCGAGCGAGCCGTAGGGGGGGCGGTGAGGGCGGGACGCATTCTTCCCTCCTCCCCTCCGTGCATCCAGAAAGCAGGCAGTGGCGCCCTGGGGGGCACTATTGGAGAGTGGGGGATCCCCTTGGCGGGGGGGAATAAAGAATAATCCAGAAAATATAGGGAGAGAAAGTGACCCGGTAAATAAAATAAGGTGTGTATGGGGGGAAAGGCCAGGACACCTTAGGTTCCCGGGTATCCTAGTCGGCTTCCCAAGGGTTAATCCCTTCCAGACCCCCGGGAACCCCCTAGTGACGTCAAGGGCGGGGTCTGTGCGCCGGACGCGGACGCCAAGGAGATAACGGGGGGGGGGGTCTCTGGACCCCGCCCCCTAGGGAAAACCACCTTAATTCCTGCCTCCTACTTCTCCCTCGGGAAATTGCCCCGCCTTCTCCCTCTACTAGGGCGTAAAGACCTATCCTATGAAGAACTCAGTTCTCCAACCCCCTAAAACCCTCAGTACCCTCTACGGGGTCCACCTCCCCTAATCCTGTCCCCAAAGCTAGTTGCCCATTGCGGATTGTTTCGGGGTCATGGGGCCTGAAAAAGGATTCAGAGGCGGGGAGCAAGGGCAGGCAGGGTGGTCTGAGCCAGAGGAGGGGCCTCGGTCCCCAGCTCCCGTTTGAGGAGGGGGAGGGCAACCGGGATGCGCAGGCTGGCAGTGGCCAGTGGTCCCGCCCAGCCCCAGTAGGGGTCTCCATGCAGCTAGCCCTAGCTGCCCTGGTGGTCCTGAGTTCAGAGGGTCAAGCCAAGGTCTCCCTACCTCCTCTTTGGCGCCCTGCCCACAGCCTTTGGGACTCAGGAGTCCAAATTCCATGGGGAGTCTTTCTAGGGCCTAGATTAGACACCGGGCAGTCCCTCGAGTCTCCTTCCTAGTCCAGGAGACACTCCCTTCCCCCAAAACACATGCACCCACAGGCACATCTGTCACAAGACAGGTCAGGGGTTCAAGCCCAGCCGCCCCCAGTGACTTTACCGGCTCACCACACACACACACGCACACACCCATCCCCGTCCCACCTAGGGCTCCCTCCTTCGCGGTCCCCTCCTTTCAGAAACACTGACGTTTTCCTGCCTGGAGCTCAGACACACACCTGGAGCTCCCTCAGTACCACGCAGAACTCCAGCTAGCCGTCCCTCTCGCCGCTTCACCTCAACTCCTGAAAGTGAGGCGTTTCTAATGTATGAGAGAGGAGGAGGCAGACAAAGAGACCCACAACTGCCTGAGACAAGAGTCACACAGACTATCAGACTCCTAAGAAAAAAGGAAACTAAAAAGAGATACAGAGAAAGAGAGCTACAACTGAAAAAAATTATCCCAACTTTCTAATTTCTCACCCCAGGATCTTCCACCCCCATTTTGCCCCTGTGCCCAGGTCTCCCTCTAGGCTGGCTGAATCCCTTGGAAGCAGAGCATCCCCTCAGGCCCCTTCCCCCACCGCTTCCAGGTGGTCCCCCGCCTTCCCTCCCCCCTTCTCACCTCCGTCTGGGCGCGGGGCTTGGGATGCGCGGTCCAGGGCTGGAGTGTGGGCTGGGGGGGGGGGGTACGGGGGGGGGGGGGCGGACAGTGCCACGGCGGCGCAGCCTCAGTGCCACCCCACCCCCCCCAGCCTGGCCCCCAGCCCTCCAGCCGGCCCAGCCCGCCGGGCCGCGAGCCGGGACCACCCGCGAGAAGCGCAAACTTTTTTTTCCTTTTGCAAAAACTTTTTCTCTCTCTAGCTGCTAGCTCTTCCCGCTCGCCCCTCACAACGCTCCTGTTTCCCTTCCTCTTGCCGTTCTTGAGGATGAGGCGAGGTGGCTGGAAGCGAGAGAGGGGGTGCCGGGCTTATTGCACCCCCAGGACCCCCAGGATCCTCCCCCTCCCTTGAGGGACCCTATACTGCCTCCCCCCCACCCCTCGCTGAACATGCTGCTGTCAGTAGGCAGTAAATCCCGGCATGGATCCCTGGATCGGCTGTCCACGAAAAGGCCCTAAACCCCAGCCAGAAAAACAGACTGGGCAATGTATTGCGGTAGGGGGTAGGGGCTGAGACGAGGCAACGAAAAAGTTCATCTTAGAAAATATTGCAGGTAGAATTGTCGACTTTGATTGGTGTCAACTCAGCATTCTCTCTCCTTGTGGCTTCGTCCTTTGGATGGAACTTGGATGGGTTAGGACAGAGTTGGGGTTTGGGGAAGACGGGGGCCCTGGGCGGAAGGTGAGGGTCTATGAGCATAGAAGAGAGAAGCAGCAGCTGAGGCCTGGGTGCAGGGTGTGTGTTCACAGATCACCTAAAGGGCCCTGGGCCTGAATCACTGTTCCCCGAGAAGCACTGTTCCAGGAGAACCCCCCCCCCCCACCCCACCCCACCCCACCCCACCCCTTTCCTTCATCTGGAAGTTCGGAAGACTACAGCCACCTCCGCACCTCTCCGCTGCGTGCCCTCTTTCCGCTCTTCAGGGCTTTCTGCTCCCTCTGCTGGCCTATCTGGCACATGACACCTCTCGGCGCCTGCTTGGAGGCGGAGGAGACAGGGGAAGCTGAAAGAACAGGAGGCTTCACTTGTCACCCCCACCAAACCCCTGTTAGGGGCCCAGGGCGCGGATGTGAGAGCCCAGAGAAACATAGGGGCACACTGGCAGCAGCTAGTAGTGCAGAGCTGTAGTGCCGAACTGAAAGGGAAATGCCCTGTGGATTTGGATTTTTGTCACCTTGGTGACCAGATGCAGGCAAAGGGACAGCTATTTCAGTCTCTGTGGCCTTTATGCGAAAAGGGAGAAAGCATGGTGGGGCGAAAGAGTCCCTTCCCCTTTCTGCCACCCCTCAAGACAGACTCCACATCCCAGCTCTGCTTCCAAGGACTGCCTCCTTGGGCCTGGAGGGTCAATGGGTTAACTGTGCAGTCTGAGGGCATGGGGAAAAAATGAAGCTGGGGAGAGGACAGGTCTTACAAAGATAGGTAGTAACTATGGGGTGACGAGGGGGAAGATAGATAAGGTGCCCTGTTGGAACCTTCCTCCCCCACATGACATTGACCCAGACACCAGTTATATGGAGAGGGTCTGGGACCCATCTGAGTCAGGCCAGACCAATGGTCACTAGAAAGAAAGGAAGGAACCCTACACTGCTCATTCCAGCCACATGCCACTTCCCCATCGGAGCTCTCTTTTAGAATACCCTCTCCACCCAATTCTCTAGACCAGTGGCTCTCAAACTTTTTGGTCGCAAGACCCCTTTATACCCTTAAAAAGTATTGAGCTTTTGTTTATGTGGTTTATGTCAATTTGCCATATTGGAAATTAAAATGGAAAAAAATTTAAATACAAGACTACACAAGCACACGTTCCATTAACAATAACGTCAGAAAGATGATGTAATCGCATATCACGCAGCCTCTGGAAAACTCCACTGTACGCTTCGAAGATAATGAAAATTTTAAAAAGCAAACAACATCTTGAAATAGTTTTGACTCGCGGGCACCCCTGAAAGGGTCTCAGGGACCCTCCCAGGAGTCCCCAGCCCACACTTTGAGAACTGTTGCTCTGGACCAGCACCAGCCTGTTTCATTACTCACATGTTTTGATTTTTGTTTTCTCATTTTTATTAGGAAAGTATAAATGTTTGTCTGCCCAGTGGGTCCTGCCCCCCAGGAAAAAACAGAAACTTCTCTGGGGCTCAGCACTCACTCTTCTCTCCTGACTTCCGTTTCTGGGGCTTTCCTAAACACCCACCTTCAGCCCCTTGCCCATCTCCCTCTTGGCCCTCCCTTAAAGCACTTCAACAATCCCTACCCCTGGCCAACCTGTTTCCCTGCCCCAGGCCTGCTGGGCCCTCTGTCTGCTTCCTCTTTCCCTTACCTGAGGACTTCCTCTTCTTGTGAGAGACTAAGTAATTTTTCTCTGCTTTCTTCTTCCCTCCCTCCCTCCCTTGCCCTTGTCATTTTCTCACAGAGATTAGGCTAGGAAACCATCCTTTCCTGGTAGACCTTTTTGGAAGAAACACTTTACCCATCTCTCCACACATCAACCAGCGTGGACTAGGTTAGGAGTCTGGACAGAAAGGTGCCCGTTTGGGTCACATGGGGTCAGCCCAGTCAGACTACCAGGTCTCGTATGGGGTAGGGATGTTGATCAGGAATCTGATGCCTTCAGCCACAGATGCCCTTTGCTTGGGAACACCTGACTTGATCTCTTCACTCCAAACCCCCACGTCCTCTTGCTAGCTGCAGCCACAGGCCTCCACCACCATATCTGGCACATCTGTCTTGACCACATTGCCATTACGGTCAAGGTGGAGGAGGGACAGAGACCTTTTTGCAGTGGGGACACAACAGGATATACCCAAGGGCCAAGGATTATTGGCCTTGAGGAGGCTGAAGACAGCAGAATGGAAGGAGGCAGCAATGCCTGGGCTGCCAGCCAGGTGCGGGGGGCACTGCCCATTGCAGTAATTCAGCTGATACCCCTCAGGCTGCAGGATCCAATCCCGCCATCCCAGTTCTTGGAAGTCTACATAATGATCTCGCCTACAACATAAGGGGGTCTCAGGTTCACAGGTGGGGGTCCTCCTCCTGGCCCGACCTGCACCAGGCTCATTGGCCCGAATCTTAAGTTCCAAGAAGGGCCGCTGGTCACCCTCTGTATCCAGGAACCGCTGCTGTGGTTGAACAGCTGTGCTATTGCCCTCTAGGGGTCTGCAATCCACCTGGAGTTTCAGGACACCTGACTCCTCACCCTTCAAGCCACTAGGGGGCAGAGTCAGGGCGTGCCAGCCTGGGGTATTCATTTGGTGCTCAGCCAGGAAGGTGCGGGACACTCGGCGCCTCTTCCTTGTGCTCCACCGGCTGATCCTCAAGTAAAGGGTGCCGGGAAGGGTGGGGAGCATGTGAAGCCAGAGGCGGGCGTGGTATAAGCGGTGGGCCCGAGGAGTGGACAGGTGGAAGGTGAACATGGAGCTGCAGGTTGAAGCAGAGGAGTCTGCCCAAAAGATGGAGAAGGGAAAGAGAACCGTGAGCAGAGATGAAGCTCTCCTCTGAGATTCCCCTAAGCCTTGCCCACTGCTCTCCCTCAGCCCACCTTCAGAAGACATAGAGACTGCCTTGCAGCCTCGCAACCAGTCCCCGCCCAACTCCTCCCTCTTCTACCATACCCTGCTTCCTCTACCTTTTCTGCCAGGCTCCCCTTCTGCCTCACTTTCCCTGTCAGTTCTCTGTCTCTCCTTCACCCACCTGTGATGGTAGCAAAGCTGATGACTTCCTCCCCTTTTACTGGACTCACACTTCCTGGCTGCAGTCTTCGAAGGGCTCTGGTCAGTGCTGCCTGGGGTGGAGGATGGGTTATTACGGGACGACTGGTCAGGTGCAGCCCCTCCAAGATTTGCTGTTTGGCCAGCTCCAGGACCAGAGCTCGTTCTGTTTGGGGTGCCAATGTGGGGCTTCCACAGGAGGGACATACAGACCCTGCCTCCTGTGCCCACACCAGTGCCCACAGCAACACCAGCTGGAGTGGGACCTCAGGGAGCCTCATGCTCCTGGTGAACGGCCCTGGGTCGAGAGCTCAGGAGTTCCTATGGCAGTTGCTCCTTCTGTTGAGTCTGATTGCACGAGGGCCAACGTGGGCACAGCAGCAGCAGACACCAGTGCCACACCTACCCCCGGTGAAGGGTAGAGCCACCTGTCTTCTACTGCCTGGGACTCAGGAAGACAGACATTGGATAGTTCGATGGGAAGCTGTGCTTAGCTCTGTCTGCCAGTTTGACCCTCACAGCTTATGTCTGACTACTGATCTGGGGCCTCTTTTGAGCTGGTGTGTGGGGCTCCCCCACCTAGCGGTCAGCCGGCAGACCTACCCTCTGAGCCCGGGGATTGGACAGCTGTGCTGCCCATCAGGCCCCTGCAGGGGGTGGAGGTCCCCCCTTGGAGCTCCGGTTTCACCATCTGGCCATGGTGGCGGGGGTTGAGGTAGGGGTATGGGGGTGGGGGGATAATGTGGACACGCATGATGCAAGAAAGCGGATGATTTCACATGCTCAGTCCCCAAGGTCTGGGCTCGGGGGAGGGGACTCCATATGAGCCAGGTGGGAAGGGCCACGTCTCTGCGTACCTCGAGTCTTTCTAGCTTGCCCAACCGCCACTGCCACAGCATTTCCCATGAGGTAGCTAAGTGTCCCAGTGGGGATTCCTCTGGGGCCTCTGAGCCAGAAGGAGTACTTTGGGCTCTTTATTTCTATCAATTGGGCTCGGATATGGGTGGGGCATGGGGAGGACAGGCAGAGGTGGCAACGCCTTGGGGCACGGAAGTCACCCTCTGACTCTGCCTACGCTGGCTGCCCAGAGTCCAACTGGACTGGAGCACAACACGGAGGAAGGCCAGAGCGTGGGGTGGGGGAGGTGGGGTGGTATTACTGTGTGTCTGGGGGAAACCCAGAAACGTGGGGGGTGGCAGTGATGCAATCGCGTAGTGGGGCAGAGGCCATCAAGGCTGGCAGAAGGGCATGGGACTTGGGAGGGCTTGGACCCAGCTCTGCAAGTTCCCTTTCAGGCAGCTGTGAGAGTTGTCTAAATTTGGGGCATCCTAGAAGTGATGCGGTCTCAGCCAGACCTCTCTGTTAGTGGAGTGGGAAATGAGGGAGCTAAGGACTTTCGAGAGCAAAGCAAAGTGAGTGCAGCAACCTTAGTTCCAACCCCTGTCCTCCTTACCACATTTGCTTACGGATTTTAAATGAGAGGACCAAAGCCCCCATCCCTTGAACTCCCTGGGGCTGGCCTCACGCTAGCTTTTCTCCTTATACCCCAGGTTTTTCAAGAAGGTGAAGGAAGAAAACTGAGGGGGGTAAGTGAGTGTGGTTTGGAAATGCGCCCCTACTCCATTTTACTCATCTCCCCCCATTTACCCCTTGGGGGCTACCAAGAGAGACCGCTAGGCAGTCTGAGTTGTGGCACCCCGAGGCGGGGGCGGGGGTGCGGTTTGCACTTTGGGGGGCTTCAGTACTACCAGTGTCCACTATGTGGCAGTGCTGTGCCACTGGACAGCAGCAGTCCAACAGCTGACCTGGAGCTTCCCAGGCAAGGGGCCGCCTTGGAGAATGGAGAGCCAGGGGTGCTCCTCAACCTCTCACTGGGGACGTACCTCCCCACCAAGAGACAAGGGGAGCTGGTTCCTCTGCTCTTCCCACCTCTCCACCTTACTACTGCCAGGAAGCAGAGGCTGTCCTTAAGATTCACATCACTGCTACCTTTGATTTTGGACCTCATCACCCTGACACGTGGCAATGGAGCTTGGTGATGGGTGCCAGGCTCTTCCTAGAAACTCAGGGCACAATGTGCTGGGGAAGGCAAAGAAGGGACCATGAAACTCTTACACCCTCCTACCCACCTGCATTTCTCCCCAGACCCCGAAACATATTCAAGCTCTCCCCAACTCCCAGCATCCTCTCTGTTGGTCAGGGCTGGTGAGTGACAGCCCTCTACCCCCTGAGGTCTAGAAAATACAGGCTGCAAAATGGAGGTTTGCAGGTTTGCACGGTCATGCCTGGGAGGGCTTACCTGTTAAGTGCCAGGAGATAGAGCCAAAGGAAGCAGCAAGAAGTGACTGCGGGAGTCGCTGACCCCAGCTCTCCTGCACCCTCCCTCTGACAGGTGCCCCCAATTTCCAACTCTTTCCACCCCCTTGCTGCTGTGCCAGGCTTGGCCCTACCTCCCCAGTGACACTTACGTCAGAACTCAGCTATAAATACGCTCTTAGCATCTTAATCACTTTTCCCAAGAAGTGCTCCCGGGGTTATAAATACCCCAGCCATCTGCCTCTCAGCCTGCCCTACCACCAGCCTAGTTGGGGGCTGGGGGTAGTGACAGGCTTAGGGATGGGTAAGGAAGAAGAAGAAGCTGAAGTGGCTATCTTGCCCAGAAGAGAAAAGCTTGAAGGGATCTAGAGTTAGTTGCTAGGGGGCTCTGAAGGAAAATGCTTGGAAGAAGACAGGCGCATTCTTTCCCCATTTTACAAAAGGCAGAGCCAAGAAGGAAGGGGAATAATGCTAATTCTGTGTTTACTTAAAAATCTGCTAATTCGTTCATCATGAATTTTTTTGCATTAATTTTTTATTTTAAAAAAATGTTGCATTAAAATATTATTTATCTTGATTGCCGTATTTTTTGCATCTCCTTAAACATTTTGCCCCCAAGATGAGTACCTCACTTCACCTCACCCTAGTCATGGCCCTGGGGACTGAAGCTGGAGTTGGAGGAAGGAGGTTAGATTTTGGGGACCGGGTGCAGAGGAGGGGGCCCCGTAACAAGAGGGAGAGGAGAAAAGGGTACAGGAAGACCTGAAGTCTCAGACTGTGTTGACTCACAGCTCAGATGTGTAGCCCCCTGCCCCCGGGAGTTCCCTTTCAGACTTTCTCCTCTGGGGTTCCTATCCTGGGGACCTCTTACCCTGGTAGGAGGCAGTCATAAGTTAAGCAAACACAGACAGCACGTTCTCCAAAGGTCACATGGGTTTTGCGCAAACTCGGCCTTGGCTGCAGACAATATCGACCCCATGGTTCAGGGCTGTCCAACAAAAGGGAGGAAGAAGGGCAAAGGTGAAAGAGGACCCAGTCTCAAAGCAAATGCTTCCCCCACTTCATCCCTGGCCTTGCTCTTCTTCTCTCGTTCCCACTCCAGTGTCCTTTGACCAGTTCCAGCTTCCAGGCAGGACTCTTGGATGGAGCTCTGGAAGTCAGTGAGGGGAAGTGAGTCAGAGGTCCTGGCAGTCAGCTCGGAGCCATGCCTCAGCCTCCCATCATGTGCATGCCCTCAGGTTGTCACCTAGTTGCCAATTGATCGATAGCAATCGATCAGCCATCCGTCTCATCTCTTGGAGCAAGTACAGAGGGAGGAGAGGAAGTGGTAAAACACAGGGTCTTTATTAACCATGAGACCAGCAAAGATGGACCTGGAGGGGTGGAAGGGGCCTAAGAAAGAGGAGGGGGCAGTGTGGGGGAGGAAGCGTGAGACAGAAAGATGCAATAGCTCAGCCCTGAGAAGTCTGTGTGAGGAGAGAGAAGTGGTCAGGGCAGGCATGCACCGTGTCATCTGGGTGTCAGTCAGGGTCCTAGCAGGAGACAGGGGACACACTCAGCCGTCTATATTTGCTTCATTAAGAGGACTTAGTGAAGGAATTATTTACAGAGGGGTCATGAGAACCAACAAGGGATGTTGAAACACCCAGGAATGAGCTAGCGCTTGGAAAGCCATTATGACCCCTACCTTTGAAGCAGTGATAACAGAATTTAGGCAGAGCTAGAGCCATGGAAGCGGGTAGCCAGACAGGAGATTTAGGGACACAGCCACAGTCACACAGAACCATGACACCTAAGCAGAGAGGGAGCAGGAGTAAGAAATACCCTGACCTCTATCTTCTTCTATCCTTTGATCTGTGTCTCCCCTTAGTCAAACACCAGAAAGCCAGAAGGCAAAGGAGCCCAGGTGGGTCAGCTCCTAAGCGCATACAGCAGGGCAGAGAAGGGCAAAGAATGGCTGGAAGTGTGCAAAGAGAGCATTAGCACCCCACTTGGGCAGGTAAGATGGAAGAGCCTCAAGACACAGTAGTAAGGATAGGGTGGGTAAGCCTCACTTTGAAAAAACAGTCATCTAATCTTTGGTGAACCCAAAGAAGGGGCTCTGTGGAGATCCAGACAATCAAGGGAAAGGGCAGGGTCAATTCATCCTGGAGCAGGGACCACTGAGTGGAAAAAGCACGGGGGCAGAGTGGGCTATGGGGTAGATTAGGGGTGGGATAAGGCTATCTTTGCAGGAACCACTGCTCAAGACTGGAGGTGAATCAGAGTTCCTGGGGTGGAGTTAAGCATGTAGGCTTGTTGGGTCAACTATGTACCAGGAGAGAGGCTTGTGGTTATGGACATGGTACAGAGACTCTCCTTAGATGAAAATCTTCTAGAGTCAAAGGTGGGATAATTCCCATGGGTTTCTCAGGAAATGGGTCATCTGTCTTCTGGATAGAGGCAGTAATGGAGTCACTCCTTCACCTCAAGAAAAGGCATCTCTGCCAGGGCATGTCTGTCCACCCCACCCTGGGCTGCCTGCACCACACATAGACTAACTGCACCCACAGGCCTCTACCACCATGTCAGGTATGTCAGTCTTGACAATGTTGCTGTCCCTGTCATAGTAGAGCAGAGATAGGGGGCGCCGGGTAGTGGGCACACAGCATGATCCCCCTCCAGCAGTGCCTGCAACTGTATTGGCCTTGAGCAGGTTGAGCACTGCGGTGTGAAAGGAGGCAGCAATGCCAGGCATGCCTGCCACATGCAGTGGGCACTGCCCTGTGCAGAAGTTCATTGCGTAGCCCTCAGGCTGGATGATCCAGTCGTGCCAGCCAATCTCACGGAAGTCAACAAAGAACTCTTGTCGACAGCACATGCTGGACCCACCCTGGCAGTCAATGCCTCGCCGGCGAACTCGGAGCTTGCCCTCAACTCTCACTCGGGCTGCCACAAAAGGCCTATGGGCAGCCCCCAGCAGGATGACTGAGCCCTGAGCTGCCTGGCCTTCAGGCACCAGCTCCAGGGTCAGGTGCCCCTGGCTATAGGCAGCCTGAGCATCAGGCCCGAGGAGGAGCTGGTACCAGCCACTGGCATCTACCTCCAGCAGGCGCCGGGTGGCCAAGGTGAGGTTGGTGTTATGTGAGCCTGACACAAGGACCTTCATCTTCAAAGTTCCAGAGGCATTGGGAAGGAGCTGTACAAAGAACATGAGACTGGCTTGCTGGACCTCCATGACACCAGCAGTTCTATTAGAGAGGTAGAAATCAAGACGAGTCTGGTTGATGGTGGAGAGGCCTGTGGACAGAAGAAGCCCCAGTTATTCTGAGTGTCAATTCTACCAGGTACCTCTCTGTTCTGAGCATACTTGAACTCTCTGTAGCACTTGGCATTACTGACCAGCTTTCTTTCTTGAAAAAATCTTTTCTGTCTTGGCTTCTATGGCACAGCTCTCTTATGATTCTTCTTTGGTCTTCTTGGCTGGCTTTTCTTTCTCTGACCATCTCTTTAGTGTCAGAGTTCTCCAAAATCTGTTTTTAACCTTCATTTCTTTTTCTACTGTACTCTGGTGGTGTAATGGTTAAGATCTATGGCTGCTAGCCAAAAGGTCAGCAGTTCAAATCTCCCCTTGGAAACCCTATGGGACAGTTAGTTCTACTCTGTCCTACAGGGTCACTATGAGTAGGAATTGACTCAACTGCAAAGGTTTGGGTTTTTTTTAAAAGGAACCCTTATCCATATGCATGGACAGCCAACACAATCTTTTCGCTGATGATTCCAAAATCCGTATTCTAGTCCAGACCATTTTTCACATTTGGACTGGATATACAGATTTGGGAATTACCATGCTTCAGTCCTAAATTTCTAACTGCTTAATTTTGCCACATGAGTGCCCTGCAAGCACATTCAAATCAATCTGTCTGAAATGGAAATAATTCTTTTCTTTCCGAACACGCATGTCTTCTTGTTATTTGAACTGGCGGTACCGCTACCCTCCTTATTACCTCTGGAAACTCCATGATCACCTCCCTCACTCTACACACCCAGTCCTTTACTACAATGGTTCTAAATGTCCATGCATTTCTTTCTATCCCCATTACAACTGCCCTAAATTTCCCTCATTATTGCTCACCTGTTCTATTGAAACACTTTAATTAGGCTTCTATTCCTCCACTCCACTGAAGTTGCTCTTGTCAAGATCATCAACACCTTCCACATTGCCAAATCCAATGGTTTCATCTCTTTATATTCATCTTACTTGACCTTTAAGGAGTGTTTAACACAGTTAACCATTATCTCCTTCTTGAAATATTTCCTTCCCTTGGCTTTTGTGATACTGGCCTTTCCATCTTGGTCTCTTTTGCTTACAGCTCCTCTTCCTCTGCCTGACCTTTAAATGTTGGAGGTCCTGAGTTCTCTTCTCTTCTCTACCCATACCCTCTCTCACAATCATTGGATCTCATCGATTCCAATGGCTTTAAATTCTATCTGTATGCTGGTAACTCCCAAATGTGTGTCTCTGGCCCTGATCTCTCCCTGAGCTGCAGACTTGTATATCCAGCAGCCTATTTGACATTCCACTTGGATATTCAACTATATCTCGAACTTAACTGTTCAAAAAAGAACTCTAGATTTACCTTCTCCCTGCCAGTCCAAACCTATTCCTTCTCTAGTCTTCTCCTTCCCTGTAAATGCATTGCTTAAAGCCAAACCTTGATTTTCCTCATTCCCTACTTTGAAATTATCTGCAAGATCTGTCAACTCTACCTCCAATTTATGATATAATTTCACTTCTCCCCGCCTCTGCTACTATACATTAGTTCAGCCCATAATTATCTTTTTCTTGCATATGGCAATAGCTTCCTATGTAGTTCATTCTTCCCCAGGGGCCTACCCACTGAAAATAGTGTCTACAGAAATTAGTTTTTAAATTGCTGAATGATCTCTTATAGTTGACCATGCAAACTGCAATGGCCAATAGAAACTGCTCATTAGCGCCCCTCCTCAAGTGGCACCCAGGGCACACGTCCTACCTGCCATACCTTAAGTTATATCTCTGCTTGAGCGGCAAACCATTCTCCACATATCAGCCAGAGTGATCTTTTTATTACATAAATCTAATCAGATTAATCTCCTCAGCTTAAAACCCTCTGTCTTAGTCATCTAGTGTGGCTATAACAGAAATACCACAAGTGGATGGCTTCAACAAAGAGAAATGTATTCTCTCACAGCCTAGTAGGCTACAAGTCTCTTGGGCATCGGCTCCAAGAGAAGGCTTTCTCTCTTTGTCTGCTCTGGAGAAAGTTCCTTGTCATCAGTCTTCCCTTGGTCTGGGAGCTTTTCTGTGCAGAAACCTCAGGGCCAAAGGACGTGCTCTGCTTCCAGCACTGCTTTCTTGGTGGTATAACATCCCCGTGTCTCTCTGCTCACTTCTCTATTTAATATCTCAAAAGAGATTGGCTTAAGACACTATCTAATCTTGTAGGCCTCATCACTGCCACTAATCCATCTTATTACATCATAGTGATAGCATTTACCACACATAGGGAAATCACATCAGATGATAAAATGGTAGACAATCATACAATACTGGGAATTATGACGTAGCCAAGTTGACAGATATTTTTGGTGGATACAGTTCAATCCATGACACCCTCCAAAGGCTTCCCATTGTTATTTGGATAAAGTCTAAATGCTTTAATATGACTTACCATAAAACTTGTATGATTAGACATTCTGCCCTTTACTTACTATACTCTACTCATACTGTCTTCTTCTTTTCCTTGAACTCACAAAGCATGTACCTACCTCATGGCGTTTGCACTTGCTATTCCCTCTGCCTGGACTGTCCTTCCCAAGATCTGTGTATAACTGACTCCTTTTTGGCAGTTGTCTCCTCCTCAGAGAGGCTTCTCTGACTACCCTATCTAAAGTACCCTTCAACTCTACCATCATCATCCTACTTAACTGTCTTTATTAGCCCCTTGTCATTCTTGGTTCTTTGTTAATTTGTTTACTAGGTGCATCTTCTATCCCTCCCTCCCCTTGAGCTACAACGTAAGCTCCATGAAGGTAGAGACTGTGCCTGTATGGTTCACCATTGTATCCCTAGTACCTGGTACATAGTAGGTGCTTAATAAACATTTCTTGAATGAATGGTCTTTCATTCCTTTAATTTTTCTTTTGCACTGACACCAGAGTTATTTTTCAAAAACTTGGCCAGATCATAAAATTCATCACCTGAAAAATCTTATTGATGAATAAACTCCAAGCTCTTATGCCCATTATGATTTGGCCTCAGTGCCCTTATTTTTCTTTTTCAAGTACAGGGTGCTTTATTGTGTGGATGCAACAAACACTCTCATGGGCAAAAAACAGGAAATCAAGTTCAACCAGACTGTGTGAATTGGAAGGTCAGGAATAAGGCTACTCTCAACAGCCCTCAGGACCAACATGGTTTCTTTCATTTCTACCTCTCTGTGTAGGTCTGCTCCACTTTTCTCGCTCCGTGAATCTACTTCTGCTAGCTTGTCAGCTTCCTCAGGTCCCAAAATAGTGGCCCCAGCTCCTGAGTCTGCAGGACCTTCTATTCAGCTCATCCTAGCTAAGTGATGGTCTTCCAGTGTCACAATTGGAAAACCCTGGAAGAAAAGTCTGATTGACCCAACTATTCTTTTCTTGCTAGGTCACTAAGCACTCTACAGTTAGAATCCTTTAAGTTACAGCAGGCAGATGTAGGACTAGCAGGAGCTGTGGTAGACTGTTACATTGTTGACCCTATCAATGAACAACACTTCCCAATATTCATGCTTTTGTGCAGTTGCTTCCTACATCAAGGCTGGGCTTGGCCGTGTGGCTTGATTTGGCGTATGGGGCCTTAGCAAGCATGGTACAAGCAGATGCTTGATAAGTACTTACACATTGAGGCTTTGTCCTCTTGGAAGCCAGCCACCATGGTGTAAAGAAACCTGGGCTTGCCTACTGAATGAAGAGGTCATGTGTAGAGAGACTCTGGAGCATGAGAGACAATCTCGGATGTTCCAGCCTCATCTGAGTTTCCAGCTTAAAGCAGTTGCATGAGTAACCTTAGCTACACCATGTGGAGCAGAAGAACTTTCCAGAAGCCCAGACAAATTACAAAATCATGAGAAATAATACATTTGATGTTTTAAGCCTCTATGTTTTGGAGTGGTTGTTATTTATCAATAGACAACTGAAACAGAAATAAGTATCAGAAGTGAAGTGCTGCTGGCAAGGTTGTGCAGAGGTTGGAACTCGTATACCCTGCTGATGGGATTGTAAAATGGTGCAACTGCTATGGAAAACGATATAGTGCTTCCTGAAAAAGCTAGAAATATAAATACCTTATGATCCAGCAATCCCACTCCCAGGTATATAGCCTAGAGATATACGAGCAGTGACATGAATAGACATATGCACACCTATGTTCCCTGCAGCATGATTCACAATAGCAAAAAGATGGAAACAACCAAAGTGCCCATCAATGGATGAATGGATAAACAAACTGTGGTAGATACATACAATGGAATACTATGCAACTATAAAGAATAATGACGAGTTCATGAAAAATCACACGGATGAATCTGGAGGACATTATGCTGAGTGAAATAAGTCAATCACAAAAGGACGAATATTTTATGGTGTCACTTTTATAAAATGTCAAGAATACGTACACACACAGAAAGTAACATTCTTTGATAGTTTCCAGGGATGGGAGGAAGAGGGAGGGGGTTCACTTTCTAGAGAACAGACACTTGTTATTTTTGATGATGGGAAAGGCAATACCCAATATGGGTGAAGTCTGCACAACTTGATCAAGGCAAATGAAGACACTAAGAAGTACACAAGGATAAGGGACAATTTCAGTAAATGCTATAACATATACAATTTTCCAAGAATAGTAGTAGTAACCAAAAAATACGAGGGTGTTTACATAGGTAGATATGTATGCATACATGTGCATAGGAAGACATATGTGAGTACATGTGTATGTACGTATAGGTGTATCAGTAGACATGTATATACATGTTTTTGTGTGCTACATATATATTCATATATGTAATAAAGCACATGGGGGCACAGTTACAGAGACTTCCTAGACATATCCAAATACCTTGTGGGATTGGTTTACTGAGTTTAAAAGGCTTAGAACCATAGTCTCATGGGACAACTCAGTCAATTGGCATAACATAGTTCATAAAGGTAATGTTCTGCATCCTAGCTTGGTGAGTTGCATCTGGGGACTTAAAAGCTTGCGAGAGGCCAGCTAAGGTACA